AAACAAAAATAAAGCTCCCGCCCCAGAGACTGGCGGGACCCCCCCCTCCACTCCAGCAGGCCATGGACTACAGCCCCCGCAGCAGGGACAGCGAGGAAGCCTGTCCCTCTCACCTCACAGTGGGAATACGCAACAGCAGGGCTTCTCTTCAGTTAATTTTGTCACCAGAAGCCTCAAGTTTGCCCATGCCACCAGCCTGCAACGCAGCAGATGGATCTCCACCCCCTCCTCAAAGCTGCTTCGCGTGGGGTCCGGCCACGCGCTCCCCGTCCCCGTTGCCACCCGCACACCCGGTGGGATGCCGGTGGGTACCACCGCCACGCTCTCGACCAGAGAAAAAAAGGGCACTCGTTCATCCGACAGTATGAAGTGTATCTGAAACACAAGCCAGCACACCCCGCTCCCTCCAATTCAATTACTAAAGTAGGCTCTTTAAAATAAAAAAATAATATATATATTTATATAGCTATACAGAGAGATACAGAGAAAGCAAAGGAGAGAGAGAGAGGCTACTAAAATAATCAAGAAGCGCCAGTTTTCTGCTACAGCTGTCAGCAAAGAACTGTCACCTTACATCATACCCTCCGAGATGGTGAAGATAATGCAGGCAATGACAGCACAGGAATGCAAAAGAGGGCAGATAAGTCACTTCTGGTAATGAGACACAAATTAAACTTTCAAAACATGTGCATAGCTTTATTCATCTGCTTCAAACTAACCTTTTCACGGAGCTTCAGCGAAACCCGAGTGTGCAAAATGCATTTCTAAAAAATAACGCAAGCAAGCTTTCACATTTACAGTGGCAGAAGTACAGAAAGACTCGGACAGAAATCACACATTGGGGCGAGTGAGTCGGGAGAGAGATGAAGAAACAAGAATTGCACAGCTTCGTATTCTGAGTCACTGACTGCAAACTTAAGCGTTTCTATTTTGTTAACTTTAAGCAAGGCGTTGTTTACTTCTCCTTTACAAAAAAACTGAAAAAACCCCACAGTAACAAGAACCACAACCTGGAAGGGAATAAATCCCCCGGGTAACGGGATCCCCGGTGCCGCAGAGAGCCCTAACTCCAGAGCAAAGCCGGTTCCAGACCTTCACTTGTTTGGGCTTTGCAGGCAAAGCATGGCAATGCTTATTTTTGTCCGCAGGAGAACAGCAAAGCAGCTTCTCTTTCTCTCCCCCCCACTCCCCTCCAAAGTCACAGAAGACAGCTTGTGCTAGCAAAGGAAAGGTGCCACCCCACAGGACATCGTCCCCAAACTGTAAGACAGCCACTACGCAGGCTCGAGTCCAAGTCTCATTTCCATCCGATGGGTCACCGGGACGTTAACGAACCCTCGACTGTAGATGGGGCACGGTCATTGTGCTGCCCGCCGGGAGCCTGGCCGTCCCACGCCACGTCCCAGCAGCTCACGCACCACTACAAACTCTCTTCAGAAAGACTAAGCACACATGCAAGGCACATTTAGTCAGATGTACACACACACCTGTGTGTAGAAGAGCAAACGCTGGCCAAAAAAAACCTGATGCTGAATAAACTAATTAAACAGGCAGAGAGTTCTGGCCTATGCTATTTAGGTACTATTTTCCAGGCAGTTGTAATCCCCAAGCGTTTTTCCTACACGACTTTGGACCTTCCTTACTCTTCCCTCACTTTACAGAGGTACTTCATTTTCCTAAAGGATCTTCTATAAATAGTCAAGTAAATTCCCTTTCTCCCCCCTCCAATAAACTCCCCCTTCACGGTACGCGTCCCCCTGTGGCGGTCCAGGTGTGACCCATGAAGACAAGAGGTTCTGGATCTGCCCGTGCCCCGTGGCAGCCCCTCGATGCAGCAGGACCTCTCTCCACTACTCCCTAAGCCGTGGGCTTTCACGCCTCAGCCGTCAGGTTTCGGCTGGGTAGATGGCCTGGCCTCGCTTTTTTTTTTCTTGGAAAACATCCGACTCCGGGCACCGACCGCTCCCCAGCAGCCGAGGGCAGCTGGAGAAGGAGGCTACGACACCGCAACACCAGGGGTGTGGGCAGGAAGGAGGCCTTGCAATCTTTAATACTGCTGGTTAACTTCACATTGAGATAAAGCATTAAAAAGATCTTTTTGCAGAGATGAACAATTTCCTTCTGTAGATAGATTCAAACAGAAAACAAAAATATTAAAACCGGAGACGAGACAATAGTCGATTGAGATTTTTCTACCTTACAAGTTACTCAGGCATCTCTCCCGCACCACCAGCCATCGAGGAAGGAGAAGTTGAAAACCTCAGGGATTTGTACTACCCTTCCAATAGCAGCTTGAGAAAAGGAAGGAAAGAAGAAAAAAAAAAAAACAGCACAGTGTTCTCTCAAGTTAAGAGTTCTCCTTTGCTTGCTTTTGCATAGAAATTCCCGTAGGTCAGCACCAAAATCAGGTACACCCCTCTCCTACACCCCAGCTCCCCCAGTTCCTATGCTACCCGCAGAGTTAGTGGCTGTGTTACAGGAGGGTTCAACTATCTGCAGAGCAACTATATGGTCATGTAAAAAAAAAGTGCATCACACATTCTTGATTTTCAGGGTTACTTATAGCAGCAGCAGCATTAATCCAAAACAATGAACAGTTGTAGATTCGTTCTCAAATGCAGCAACACTTAATGAAATGTCTTCAAGGAAGGTCATAAGAGGGTCCTTCTCAAAAGGATAAAATGAAAATTAGACTATTCAATATAGACAAAAAGGAGATAAAACAAAAATTAAAGACACAATCTTATTTACATTAAAAAAACATTCTTGTTAAAATATCTTTACAACACCTAAGCAAAAAAATATGTATTTTAAGAATAAAGCAGAAACTCCTAAAGCAGTATCCATTTTTGGAACCCTTATTTAGCACCTGAGGAAAGACTGTATGGAAAGCAGACAGGGTTTTTTTTGTTGGTTTTTTTTTGTTTTTTTTTTAAGAAAACTGTAAGTTGTGTTTTTGCTAAACGTTCATATGTTTGCAGTACACAAGTTTCATACCACAGAAAGAAATGAACTATTTTTTTTCTTCTTCTTTTTAAAGATACTCTACTCATCAATAAGGCTGTAGAAAAGGGATACTGCTATCTTACAAAATGGCTTTAGAGCTCTGGACACATTATATGAAGCTTTCCGATTAACAGTCAAGATAAATACAGCTCAGCATCCCCTGGTGAAAGCACAGGTATGATTTTTGCTCCTGTCCCAGGACAGAAAACAGCCCGACACCCCCAGCAGCGTGCCTCCGAGGGTCTCATGCCTCAAACACAAGGCCACTGCGGAGCTCTCTTGTACCTCCCCAGACGTCCACTGCTTCGGTGTCGTGCTGCTGAGCGATGCCACTTTTGAGGATCTCGAGCAGGATACAAGGAAGCCAGCCTTACCCTGTGGTGTAACACGTATTGTGCAAATGTCTAAAGCTCTGTAATCTCTGGAAGGCAGCGCGTCCGGCAGCGCAGACCGAGATCTTCTGCTTCGCACCAGCCCAGGTTCCTGCTTCTCAACTGCTTGCGCTAGGGCCTTTTCGCATGGAAAAAATGTTCTTGCAGTGGCCAAAGCTAGCATTACTCTGGCTTCTTCGGCTACTCCACCATGCTAACGCTCCTCCAGCCCCAGCCCTCCTCCTGCCTTACGCACCGGTGTGAAAATGTGTAGCAGCTTTAAATTAGGTGTAGCCTTGTTCTCTCCCCTCCTGACCTCGACCATCTCCCTTGTAAACAGCCTCTGTAAGGAAAACAAATCACTACGGACGTACGTACAGAAAAATCTTCTAGGGACGAGACTCCTGAAAGCTTCGGACACCATAGCAGTTTACTGAAAACGCCGAATCAAGAGCAAAAACTGAATGCACAGGAAAACTACCAGCAGTTCTGAAACACGTCTGTGAATGCCATCACTCCCAGATGTCCCTGAGGTCACCCACCGGCCACTTCTGGAAAGGATTCTATCATGCTATGGTAACACTGTCTTGAAGGTGAAAAGCACTAATTACACATGCAACTGAGAGGACAACTTCCATCTCTCTTTTTTTTTTTTTCCCCCCTAGCAGGAAGCGATTTTCCTTTCGATTTAGCTAGCTGGTTCACCCCATCACCCGCTCCCAGCCGCCAACTAGCTGGCATACTCACAATCTAATGAGATTTGGGTTTTTTTCCCACATTTCAAAGAAGTTCACAGCAGCTATGAAAGGCAAACAGCGGGATTTACAGTTCAGAAAGGGCAACGGTTTGAAGTGGGTTAGCGACAGAATCCACGCCCTGGAGCTACCCACGTTGTCAAAGAGACGAGAGATTTCTAACAACGAGAACGGGTTTCATGGATGACCAAGGTGGGTTTAAACCAAAACCAAACTCCAACCAAACCTTGAAAGCCATTGAGTTGCCAATCCACCAGACAGGTGGAGTGGGAGGGAGCGGAAAGGCTGAAGGTCCCCAAACCACCCTCACCAGAGACGGGAGCATGGAGCAGCTTTTAAATCATCTCTTGGAACAGACGAAACACTCCCTGATCCACCAAAGAGAAAGCAGATCCCGTGCTGGATCTGGCCAGCGCTACGCACTCCAGCCTCCGTTACGCGAGGTCCTGGACAAGAGACACCCGAAAGGACCTGCCGGCAGAGGAGGAGCGGTGGGGAAAGACCAGAGGAGAAAGGAGACAGTCCCTGCCCGTGCAGGAATCCTTACTCCAACAGACAGCCTCAGCAAGGGAACCGGAGGAAAGGGACTCGTCAGACCCACGACGGGAACAGAAACGGGAGAGAAGCCTTAACCTGAATTAGTATCTTCAGAGCTAATAAAAAAATAGGTCATGATCTCACCCTTAGTGCCACTTTCTGATACTACACATATTTAAGGGGTTTTGTTTTAAAACTTACTTTACTCAGTGTAATGAAAACAATGGCACAAATAAATACACGCTCGCTCTCCTTACACAAGTAAGATGCCCCCCCCCCCCCCCCCCCGCACGCACAGACACCCTTGGGTGCAGACCCAGGAGAGAAGGCGGCTGCACCCCTTCCCGGGCTGTATTTGGTTTATGCTACAGTACTAATACTCTGAGTCAAACAAAAACAAAACAGAACATGAGACTTATCAGTAACACCTTAGCATTATTTAAATGTGCTAAATTAGTCACAGCTCAATTTCAGTTTTTTTTTCTTTTTTCTTTTTTTTTATAAGTTTACACAAAAAATAATCAGAAAACAGATTAAATCTTAATTTTTAATAAGTGCTCAGTAAAGAATTGTGTGAGGACTTCGGGAGGACTGCAGACAGCGACAGGGCGAGTTACACGACAGCACGAGGAAGTTTCTTCCACGGTCCTGCCTGGCTCTAGGCAATAGTCTATCCCAGAAATACCGCCTGCACCAGTGAGCCGGAGCTACAGGAGCTCAGAGAGAGAATTTCCTAAATGCTCAGCGCTGAGCACACGCCGTGGAGCTCATGGAGACAGACAGACAGACATTTGAAGACAGGATGGTCAGAAATACAGCAGAGAAGCTGCAGAGGGTGTTTCTGGATGGGTCCTGCCGGCAAGGGACCATGCGCAGCGAGGCAAAGCAGCAGGGACGAACATCGGGGAAAAAACCAACCCAACCCATCACTTGAACCGTGTTTCTTTCAGCACTTCTTTCGCTATTTAGAAGATAGACTGGACTAGGCCAAGATGAGCGTCCTCAAATATTCAGCAAGACTCGGATCTCTCTAAACGCGCAGGGTCAGATTCAGCATGGGTTATTGCTGTTCCGCTTCTGCATCGTGCCAGCCCCGAGAGCGGATCTGGGGGCAGGGGTACCAGGACAGCACAGACCCCAGGTAAGCAAAACAGGGTTTGTTTTTGTCTTTTTTTTTTTTTTCTTTTTTTTTCTTTTTTTTTTTTTTATGGAACCCAGCCCTTAAGGCGACAAGTGACTACACAAGGCAAATAAATACACAGCAGAGCCTTAAAGCCAGTAAAACAAACTGGAAACTTTGCTATTAGCCTTCAACTTTTTGAAAATAATAAAAAAAAACCCAACCCAAACCAAACCATTTCTTCCACCTTAATTTTCCCAGTCCCACCATCCAGTTTGTTCAACACTTTAAAGCTCAGGAACACCCCAGCTCTTCCGCAGCAGAGCTGGAGGCGATTCCGACTTTTGGCAAGCAGTTGGGAGACTCAACAGAATTAAAAATAGGAACGTCAGAGGACTAGATGTCGGACACATCTGTAAACATGTTATACATCTGAAAGTTACACACACCTGTAAAGCTGGTACAGTTTATAGGTGAAACAGAACTATTTGCGACTGGCCAACCACACATTTCTGAACCTGGACTGATACAATACATGATTACTATATAGTATTACACTACGGTATTATACTATATAGTATTTTATACATAAAATGGAGTAGGCAATCCATAGTCAAACTTTTAAAACTAAGCGTGGCAGAAAGCTAGTAATCTTACAAAAGGTACAGAATTAAGTTTCATTGTCCCACCATGAACCTAAGCGTCTCATTCAGGAACAATCTTATTAAAAGAATAAAAACAATTAAAAAACGCATGCTACATACTCCTAGTTAACAAAAACAAAACAAAAAAACCCAAAACAAAACAAAAAAAAAGTGGATAAATCTAAGCACAAGGGGTAGGCAAAAGTTTTGGGCTTATCTGCTTCCTGTAATGCCCCATAGGATCCAGTCAAATTTTAGGAAACACCAGCTGCTGCTGACCTCGATACCCAGACATACATGAGCCAACATTTGGCCACAAACACCCACGATGAGCATTGGGTACATATGGAACTTGGGTAGGTCAGAAAACCCATTTTTGCTTCACTCATTGCTCGCTCTTGCACTGGACCCTGTGAACTTTCCACCTTTTAAAAAACCCAGAAAAACTACCCAACCCCAAGATGATTTGGACATGCTAAACAAGCTGCAATGGGACAGAGCGGGTTACACAGCTGGAGCCTGCAGTCTGCTCAGCCTTCTCTACCACTGCTAGGAAGCCTTCCTTTCCTTGGGATTTTTATTTTTTTTTCATTTTTAAATTTTTATTTTCATTCCTAAGCCCTCCATTTTTGTAATAAAATATATTTTTATTAAGAGATAATTAGAAGCAGAGCCCGGAAATACACAGACTGCATTAAAATATAAAAGAGCATTTCCAATGGGCAGGTGCAGGAAGCCCAGCCATTGGCATTCTATGGACAAATTGAAAAGGATTCAAATTCCCATTTTTCTTTTTTTTTTTCTTTTCTTTTTTCCTTTTTTTTTTCTTTTGAAAAAAAAATTTTTTTTAAGAGAAAAAAAATCATTCAAGAAGGGTGAAAGTTAGCAGAACTTAATTCCTCTTCAGTTTTCCAATGAAAATGGGAAAAAAATCCGGCACATTTAGTGTTAGGAGACAGACAGAGCAAATATGAAGCACCTACAGTTGAAAGCAGAAGATACTCTTTTTTTTTTTTTTTTTTGCTCCCAGTAATACAATGGCATTAAACTGTGGGAACAGTGGTTTTTTTGTTGTTTTTTTTTTTTTTTTTCCATATTAGATGCCTAAACAGATTGCTTATTTTTGCATGTTGTCTTTTAAAATGAAATAACTTCAGTTGCAATAGTCCAACATGTAACCGGAGCCAGGTCAACTGTGTGACTTCACCATGCATCCTAGAACTGCAGTATTACCATCTTTCCCCCAGAAGAATGATGCTTTAAGACAACATCTCCAGCATAGGATTGCTGCTTTACTCCTGGCAAAACATGCGGATTATAATTCTCTGGAAAAAAAAAAGAAACTCTGCAAACTTCAAGGCGTTTCTCCAGCATTCAGTGGAAAACAGAACAGAAAAAAAAACCCCAAAACACAAATAGGGAAGGTGGAAGGGAAAGGGGAGATGGAAGGATGGTGAATCATCCTGATTTCCCTGTGATTAGTGTGTCACTACAGTCACAGAACAAGAAACAGAAACCTTGTCAAGTGGAAATGCCTCTCCAGTGGGTTGCTGTTGCCCATGTAGACAACAGCAGGAACTTTAGAACCGGGCTTGTAAATTGAGTCTGTATTCGTTAATCACTTGCATTCACTCTTTAAACAAAAACAAAACAAAAAAACGAAAAAAATCTATTCAGTACCGGAGATTAAATAATCACGTGTGTAGTCTCGTTGAAATAAATTTTCAGATTCCTTAAGAAGTCTAATTACTTTCAGTTGCCATTTTTAAATAACTATATATATATTTGTATATATTATCCTGTGATTCTAGTTATGGTTCCTCTGCTGCACTGAAGATTTAGAAGGAGCATAAAAGCCTTTTGTCCCCCACGAACAGCACAAATGCTGCAGAAAGGTTATAACAGGCAGTCTTGTCTTGCTACCTTCATTGATCCGGGCGATCCATGGCTTCATCGTAAGTGATTATCCTTTTGGGATCTGGAAAGAAAGCAAAATCCTAAGTTTTCGACAAGCTGCTTTCAGGACCTGTGGCTGAAGACAGTCACAAGAGATCTGCAAGGTACTCAGCCGCTAACGAACTTTTCCTTAGGACCCCCAGTGACACCACCTCCTGCAAATGCACTCAGGAGCCCTGGCTGACTCTAGCAGAGCAGTCCCTGCTCCCCACGTCACACCCCAGGGCAGCAGCACACGAGTCTCCACGTACCCGCTCTCCCCACAAGCTAACACAGAACATCTTCACAGGTGAATTGTGGGGATGCACCAGAATTTACAACTTAATTCTTGGGTGTGACACCCAACACCAGAAACAGAAAGCAATTTTGTACACGTGGAAGGGAAAGACTCATTAAATCTAGTTTGACGCTGTTTTTATTGCTCTCTTAGAGACTCTGCTTCTCTCTGAACACCCCGCCATTACAGTAAAGCTTACTGTCCTGACTTCTAGCGATCCAAAACACAGATAAACCCAGACTACAAACAGTAGGCACTGAAGAACTAAACCCAGGCATCCCCGGACACCAAGACAATCCACTCTCATCACCCATCCCAACAGACAGACCAGGACAGAGAAATTTGGTTTATTTATTCTTTCCAATATCCTTACCTTGCTTCTGCAAATTCCAAACCGATTCCATTTCTGTGGAGGCAAAATGAGAAGACCATTACTATTATTATGCAGATTGATGCTGCCATTAGAGACAACTCCAAACATGCTTTAATTTTCCGACCATGGCAGGACACTGCTGCCGTTGTGCTGAGGCTTTCAGACAAAGCCAATCCCATCCAGCCCAGCAGCGCAGCCCCAACCCAGCCCACAGGGCTGCATGAATTTGACATGAATTATCCAGCAATAAAAGGCAGTGAGATGGCTGTAACATGGTCTTAAGGGTCAGATGGCCAAACTGAGCATCAGAAATGTCATCGCCATTCTCCACACCTACAAATCACAGTCTAACTCCAGGCTTTGCTACTCCGACTCCAACACTGCTTCACACATTACAGCCTCAACAAGTAGCCTGGAGAGATGATTTTTACGAGTTGACGCTTAGCGTGTGTGAAATCAGAACCGCTGGACAAAGCGAGTTTCTCATGGTTCACAGCATGCATCCATCTGCTGAAGCACACCATGCAAAGATTACTCTTCTAACATCACTGCAAAACTGCTGCCAACATATCATCTGAGAACAAGGTGTGATGCTCGAGACATCCGGCTGCCTGCTTGGTTTGCTTTCCCCAATTTACTTCTACAACACACTTGTGGGCTAAAGACAAACAAACCCTCCCCAATTCTCGCTGAAAGAGCACATGCTTTTGTTTACCTAAGAAATAACAGCAAAGTTAAATGCTCTTTTTATTCACATTAAGAAACAGAATGCTCTTCCCTTTAAGATATCCCCCAAATTAAGTCACATCTTTAGAGACCTATTTAAAATAACTACCATTTAGCCACTATCAAGTTGGAATTTTGTGAGCTAGAATATTTATAAAGACACTAACTGTATCCTCTGCCCAAGTTTAAGAGACAAAATTATAGAAAAGGAACATTTAGTAGGAACACAACCTGCAAGAACAATCTTTCAAGTCTACTTTCTGCCAGAAGGGAGGGTGACTAGACCTCGGTAGGGGCTAGGAACAGAGAATGGCAATGGATTACGCCGAACGGTATGTGCAGTAAAGCACAAAACAAGGCAATAAGTAAACTAACAGGCATGGGAAAGGAAGAAGAAAAAAACCCTACAAAACTCATGGCCTCAGCATGATGTGTGCCAAGTGTCACCTCGATCAATCGCTTGCATGTTCGCATCCCTTCTCCAACCCTTCATCTGTCCTTTGTCTGCTACAGCCTCAAGCTCCCTGGGGCAGGAAATTGCATGCAAATAAATATTGCCAGCCCTCTCTGCACAATTAAGTCTTTTGTAAGGAAGGGCCTGACAAAATTTTACGAGGTCTGTTATTTTTGCGTCACAATAATAACAGCAATACTTGGCACTTTCATCGGGGGAACCCTAAGTGCTTTGGGAATAGTAACCAGATTCTAACACCCCCAGGGATATAAGCAACCTAGCAAGGGACTACCTCCCTCATCTGCCAGATGCAGATTCCCCAGAAGTAAAACGAACCAGCTACTAAAATTACCTCCAGCAGAGCTAGTTTTCCATTCAGTGAAGTTAGATGCATCATTTCCCAATGGCTGAAGAACATCACCTATTTTAACAGCTTTCCTCAAAGGCAGGGGACAGAAAACTACTCTGAAGCTGTTGGTTCCTCCACATTAGAGCAATGTTTGAGCATCAAATACAAGACAGGGGCTGAAGCGCTGCCCACTACTCTATCTCCACGCAAAAGATCATGCTTTCTTTTGCACTTCCATTTGATCCTAACTTCATTGGACACCACAAGAATGTGAACTGCTTGTATTAAGATGAGCCTGGCAATAAGACAGACAGTGAGATACTATCAAAAACACACCAAAAAATTTCTAAGTTGTCAAAATTCTGTTTTAAAAAAAACTAACAAACCAACACCCAAACTTCCCAACCTTTTCAGACTTCAATCTTCCTTCTCCTTCAGAAAGAGGGGTAGGAGAGAAGGTGGTGTTAAGTGTCCTGTAAATCCCAAACACCTGGACACGTTGGCTGGCAGATGCACAGCCTGACAAAGCTACAAAAACAAAAACCATCAGTAAACTGGATGCGATATCAATTGTTACTGAATATCATCTGCCATCAGAAGAGCAAGAGCAAGGTCCTCCCCTCTACCTGGCCAGCAGCACATGGATATGGGATAGCACAGGTTAAGCACATTTACCAACTGAAACAACTTCACAGAGGAAAACAAAAAATAAGTCTTGGGCTAACTGCAACAGAAAACTAGGAAAAGAAAGGTTTGCCTTCAATCTTAAGATGGAATTTTGTGATTTATTCTGCTTTACTGGATAATATTATTAGAGTGAGTTTACCTCCCAGTTCTGGATCAGTTAAGGGCTGTGGTCACCTATGACCATCACAAGATGCTGTGACAAGTGCCATGACCACTGTAACAGTGGCTGGACAGACCTCAGTTACCAACCTGGTGGACAGGCAGCTCAGCAGAGCCACCACTGCGTTAACGCCTGGCTCCAGCTAACCGGAGCAGTAAGCACAGGGATGCAGGCTGGAAGAAAAGGCAGCCCCCATGAGCTGGTCATGTAAGAGGCCCCAAGGCTGCTTTCAGCCCTCCTTCCTTGGGCTCAAGGAACTCTTTTCTTGAGCCCATTTCCCCTAGATAAAGCTTCCAGGGCGAGTTCAAGCAAGGATTCTTACAATTGCTCACCCCTGCATGGGAAAAGGGATATCTTCACCATTAGTCCACCTCTCTCAGATACTGACCCAAAACCTAGTACTGCCTTTTTCCAAAGCAGAAGGTGGTCAAGACCTGACGACAGGAGCCACCATTCCCAAAACAGGACACATGGCCAGGGAAATGGCATGCTTCCTTCTCAGCGGACTCCAACCCAGCTGGAGAAAATGCCATCAACAAACCCTTGCACAACGCGGAGTCAAAGCCAGCCCTGCTCTGAGCCGGGGCAGAACTAGGTCACCTCCTGTGCCCCTTCCAACCTCAGGTTTTCCAGAATTTTTTACAATTAGCCAGCCTCTCCACAGCCCTCTGGCTCACCGTTTGCTGAGGAACTGCCTGGGGCAAACAGCCCCAGCCGCATCCACCTAAAGAGCTCTAGGGAGAGAAACCATTTTTTTCTGGGGACTGTCATCGAAACAAAGGGTCAGTGGAGGAAGGCTTTGATGTCAGGAACACTCTGGTGAATTGTGCTGAGATTCCTCATAGGTCAATAAACTTTATAGCAGGACTGGTACATAACCTTGGAGGGGAAAAAAGTCTTTCTGTGATAACTTGTTAAGACAGGCACTTTTACACACATTTTCCTTGCTAGAGAGGCTGCCCCTGCAAGCAGAAGTGTCTGCACAATGCCACAGTACTAGTTCTTTGTTCTAATAAATCTAACATATAAACTGACAATTGTCCCTAAAATGAAGTGCTAAAAAAAAAAAAAGGTATCAAAGAGGGACCATCCTCATCTTATTTTTCTGCTTCTAACTGCAGGACACAACGATTAAGTTAGGAAATTGCCCTGGAAACAAAGCAAAGACTAAAAATTCAATGCTGTGGAGACCTACCGCTGTACCAAATATGCTGTACTCATCCTGACAACTGGAAAAAGCAGAGACTTGAAGGAGAATTAAATCAGCTTTTGCCCCACAAGACCATAAGCAACAGACTGAGATCTAACCCCTTCCCACCATGGGGGATGGGAAACCAAGGCTTTTTTTTTTTTCCTCTCCTAATGTAAAGGATGAAAATTGCTGAATTCACAGCTCTGCTATTTCTTCTGACCCAGTTCACCATTCCGGCGAATGCCACTCCTGGCTGGCCCACGCTGCCTTGCTCTATTTTCCATGCTGCTCTTCTGCTTCTTCACGCAAGCAGAGATACTGGCGCAACCGAGATGCTGAGAAGGAACAAAGCAGCAGCACAGGCAGAAACTTAGGGGCAAGACAGAAGAAGGAAACACTGCAGTTTCCTCTCCTCCACCTATGTGGTCTTTGCTACTGTGCAGCTGAACTGGAGACCTCGATTATTTGCTTTTTAGCTAAGGACAAGCAAACTACTGAGCTTCCCACCACAAAGCTTGCCATATACAGCCCAGTGTAAGTGACAGAAAACCTGGCCTGGAAGACCACAACTGCCCAAACACAATGGAATTATTCCGATATGAAACATTTCATCCAGCTATCTTTAAAAGGAGGACTAAAGCAGTAAGAAGATACTGATTTCCATCGAAGTAGAGCCAAGATACACCCAGCCTCCTCTTCTGAAGGACCAAAAAAAAAAAAAATCTGTGAGGACCAGTCTTACCTCAAAAAAAATGAGGATTTTGGCAACGCCACTCTCAAGCAGAGGTTCAGTTTTAAGTGATAGGGACAGATGTCTCTAAGCGAGATTGTCGCCTCTTCCTGGTCCTTCCAGCCTCCCATACTAAGCTACGGTCCCTGCCTCCAACCACATAAACAGTAGGCCCACCAGTGCGCGACTACATCAGATCTACCTTGCTAATCAGGTATGTCACCTGCGAGTGTTTCAAGGCACTGTCACAAACACCGAGTGGCACGTGCTGTCAATGAAAGCAGCCACGTTGAAGGATCCTGTTTTACAGTCAAACAGATCAGATGATCCAAGAGAGTCTTTCTACCCTTTAAAAAAAAAAAAAAAAAAAAAGCAAGGCACAGAGCAGGGGCACAGAGGAAACCAGCACAAAAAGTATCGAAGAGAGGAACAGGAGGGTGCATCATCAGCCTTGCCAGCACATTCCCAGTACCCTGACTTCTGGGGAAATAGCAATCTGGGCACATGCAAACGAGCACAGCTTCTTTCACCAAGACCTCACTCTGCTCTGCAGCCACCCAGCCTTACACCCCAGCACAGCCTTGCCAGCACGCAGGGTGCTGTGGTGGTTTAAAGAGGATTACTGTACCAGAGCCAGCACACCCTGCGCGTTACCTCCTCCATCCATGCTTTCCCAGGGAAGCTGTGAAGCAATTACAACCTATAACACCCTTTGCAGTCACTGGACAAACCACGCACAGGAAAGCCTGGTTTGCTGGAACAAAGCTACTGAGTAAGCTGGAGGCTTTCCCACAGCCTATTTACAGTCCAAGATGAGGATCCAAATAACCTGATCACAGCTACAGAAACAGTGCAAAAAAGGGTGCAAGCTTGTGACAGACAGGTCGAAGCACTGCAACCACTCATGCTAGAGCCCATTCCTCACTGCAATACCCAAAGCTTCATCCTCGCACCACAGGTAGCTTGCACTGAACTACATGGGGGAGCTCAAGGTAGGGAATGCACCAGGACCCCACCAGTGCTCCAGGTTCACCCCTGTCCTTGCCCCACAATTGTTTCTCTTTGTGTCCATAACCCCAGAGGCAGGGCAGATTTGAAGATCAAACTATCGAGACTTTGCTCAAAAGCAAACAGATCAATCTGAAGAGGGAGAAGTTCACCCTCCTCTCGAAATCAAAACCAAACAATCTGAGGATCCAACTGCCCGGGACACCCTAACACCAGCCCAGGCAAACCCAAACGCTCTTCTGAGCAGGGAGGAGGGGAAGGCAGCTTGTGAAAAATAAGCAAGTGAAATTTTTCCTTTCCTATTGCAGAGGAACTGGTCGGCTAGGAGTAGGACCTCAGGAGAACAGCCCAAGATAAACGGAGAGAATGGTGTGGGAATTAACCCTCGCACTGCTGTCCTGCAAACACACCCTGGCAGCTCCATTTTCTAGATGTTTTGCAGCACACTGTGCCACAGGAGCTCACCCGTGGTTCACAGCCGTGAGGACAGGACAGCATTTTCCACCTGCATGGGGCAGAGGAAAGCACCATTCCTCCCAATACCCCTTAACCCAACTCACCCCAACAGACTCGAACACGCACAGAAATGCAACACCCAACATCATCACAGAAGTCTGTACTAAGACCTGGACTGATCTCCTGCTCTGTAAACCAGCAACAGCATCTGAAGACTAAGTAGGAGAAAGACAAGCTCAAGCTGTGGAGCACCCCTACCACTGCATTAATGAGAACACCCATTAGAAACATCCATCGTCTTTTACCTCTAAGTAACACCTTGAAGTTGGCACAGATAGAGCTTGAAAAATAAATCGGCACAGAGGAGCGGTGGGGCAGGAACCTGTTTCCCCAGGGCATCACAAGGGCGCTTGCTCTGGATGCTCAAAGCGAGACCATTCACATGCAGAAGCATGGAAAGAGCAGAAATCAGTATTTTAAGGAGTGCTTTAGGTGTCCATTCTTGCCATTGAATGGAATTAACTCCTGTGTTTAGAAGAACTAAACGCAGCCAGACTTTGAAGTTAACACCTCCTTAAGAGGACATGGGAAGGGAGTGTTCTTTATTTTCCTGTTGTTACTATTGTTTTACTGGGGTCTGTCTTTCACACAGCTAGTGAGAAAAGGAGAGCTGATGAGTCTTGCTGAGGCTGTATGTACAGAGTTGCTTTTCTACAAGAAAGTTCAGGCTGACAAAAACAAAAAGAGACAAACTTATGCGTTGGGAAAATCTACAAACTTAAGAAAAGGATTGCCTAGGACATCCCTTCTACACCATGCTATACTTTGCGGTACCCCCGTTTTCTGATGGGAAACTGGGATTTAGCCTGCAGGCAGACACAAGAAATGAAAATGGAAAGCTTGCTTTAATACTGGAATAGACTGAGCAGAGGGTAGAGGACCCAGATAAAATCAATAGATGAACACTGTTCTCAAGAATACTAGAGCTTAAAATGTTAACATCATGAGAGTAAGATGACCTGGAAAAAATATTTGGAGTTATTATTTTTAAATGACTGGGCTTGCTATTACTAAAGGAAGGCAGCTAAGTTTCTGTATGCTAGACAGAGAGTTTGTGAACAGGTAATATAAGAACTTTGCAGTAGGTCAAAACACAGCAAATTTGCCAATACCAACCCCTCTGCAGAGGGGAGCAACACATTGTCCATGTATGTATGTGGAACAGTAAACAAAAAATGGATGACCACCTTTTTCCCTTCAGGGTAGGGGGATGCAGGAGAGGGAAGCAGGGGCAAATAAAAAAGGAACTGCCCGTGTTCGTCAAGGGTAGGTAAGTAACACCGTGCCAAAAGGGAACACGCAACCACTCGTGTTAATGCCGAGCTGGGACCAAAAGCCAAGAACTGCCAAAAGACCTTGGAGCTCCTGGGGCTGAGGATAAAGCAGAAAGCAAGCCATCCCACAGGCTTCCCTCTCTTCGTTCCCAGTTTAAAGTGTCTCTATTGGGTTTGAATCATTTCAGTCTCCAAAAAACAGGAAAAAAAGGAGCTGGACTACAAAGGACTCCATGAAAGCAATAAAATAATTTGAAAGATTTGGCTTACAAAGACAAGGAGAAAATTCAATCTGCAGCTTATAGAAGAATTGATAAGCAAAGATTTGTCTTGCCATTGCCATAATACTCAAGAAGGGCAGGGGAAAAGCGTGTGTGTGTGTGTGTGTGTGATTCGCTTAAAAAAATAAATTAGATCACACCATGAAACGCCGTAGGAATAATTTTTTTTCTTCCTTCAAAGCCATGATTTCATGGCCTGATCTGCCTGGGGAGAAGCCACAACACTTTGGTGGTAGACGTGCGAGTACAGACTATGAAGCCTTTTCAGTGACAGAATATCACCTGGTAAAGCTGGAAGAGAGCAGGTGAACCTACACATTTAACTCCTTCCATTGCCAAGAAGCTTAAGAGGACCTGCTCGTTCCACAGGAATTAAAATGTAAAACACACTAGCTAAGTATCATCCCTATCAACATCACTTACGCTTGTCCACAGGAATAGGGCAACAAATACCTCTTAACGTTAATTAAACAATCATTTGAATAGCTTTGCAAATCCTTATTGCCATTAGAGCTATGCAAGCAAAAAGCTCATTTTTAAAACAATCAGAATTGCTGTAAGGAATATACCATGTTAGCATATTGCACTTGAAAAAATAAAATTAAAAAAAAAAAGAAAAAAAGAGAGAATGCCCAAGGCAGCAAGTTAAGCCATTACCTTTAGTGTGATACATAATAGCAGCCCTCAGGTCAAAAGAACCCCAGCTATCTTTCCTTTCTAGGCCTCTCTGGTACCTCTGTTCTTTGGCGGAGGCTAGCAAATTGTTCGTAGGAGAGGCCAGAGGATTCTCTATTTCATAGTCTTTTGAAAGAAACACTAAAGCACCTTGGCTACCGGTGTCTGCCTTTTGTAGGTCACCTGTGTGATGCGACTCCAAAGCTAAGACACCACCCTCAACAGCAGTCCCAGGCTTAAGAATAGCACTAAGAATTTGAGGGCTAGTCCGTTTATCCAGCTCATAAGCCTTAGGAAACACAGGTTGTTCAGTTCCTGAGGGAATGATTTCAGCACACTGTGAAACCAAAGTGGCAGGATATTCCCCTTGAAATGTCACTTCCATTAACTGATTATCCGCAGATTTCCCCACAACAGTTTCGGGTCCAGCGCTGGGCTCGTTTATGAAGGACAAGCCCCACTGATTCTGGAAGATATCTCCCAGGTTCTGCTGATTCGTCTGCGATGGGAAATCGACTTGCGCTGTACCCAGAAGCACAGTTTGCATATTTGAAGGGTAGATAAAAAGGCTAGATTTCTTTTGTTCGAGAGCTGTTGAAGTTGTACTCATGTCCTGGGGTACTGACTCAGAGGAGGTTGATGGTACAGTACTAGCAGCAGTTGAGAGCAGTGGCTGGGTCCCTGGAGAATACACACTTCCATCAGTCCCTGCTAGAATTGGCCCATTCGAGAAGCTAGCAGAAGTCACAGATTTCATAGCAGACATGGGGACTTGGGACAGTCGACTTGATGTTTGGGCCTGAGTTTCCCCGGCAGATGACGAAGATGACGACGACGACGTGGATGGGGTTTGAGCTGCTTTGTTGAGGTTTTCTTTAACTTTACTTGCATAACTTATTTTGGGAACAATTTTAGCACTGCTATTGTCCACTGGAAAAACTGGGGGTGGTTTAAATAAGGTCCATGAGTCCTCTTTAGATGTAGCCGACGAGGCATGTTTCCCTTTGGGCCGGTCATCAAACTTCTTGCTGCTAATCCCAGGTTTGGCATCAGAGTTTTTTCGCTGTACATCCCCAAGCCCAGGCTTTCCCCGGCCTGCTCCACCAGCCCCAGCCTCGTATTTCCAAACAGGCTTAGTATTTTCAATTCGGTTCCCCTTTTGTTCACTATAATCAGGCTTGAAACTCTCAAGTTCCTGTTTTAAGGTTGGTGCACTGACCTCCTGTTGCATTATTTTGTCCTGTACTAGATTCAAGTTCTCACAACCCTTGGCACTGTTGCGCCTGCCTTTCCGTTTTTTAGGCGTAGTATATCCACTCTCAGAGCCGCTACCATCGTTATCGGCCCCTTTGCCTACGTAGCCATTTGTGATGTAGCTAGAATTATTGGTTACCACACCATTTGGAATAGACACTCCTTCTGGCTTGTCTGAGGACTGGCTTTCTCTAAGTTTATTTTCATAGGACTTCTCATTCTTTTTGTCCATGCTATTTTTCTGAATGAAGTTCTTGGGTTTGATTCCAGCTTTCCCCAAAGCACTGGCCTTCACAGTCTGCTTTGGGGTCACGTTGGTGTCTACGAGCTGCTGGCTGCCATTGGGTACCCTGGATCCTGGGGTGGTGGTTTCATCAGAGCACAGGCCCTTTAATGACACTTCTCTTTCTCCTGCGTTACCATTTAGCTCTCCGTAGCCTAGAAGAAAGCCAAAAGCAACAAAAGGCAAGAATTAGAATGTGAAATGTTAAACTTCTGATTGCAGAAAGCTGTAATCAGTCCCAAACATATCCAGTTTCCTCAAGCAGACACTTTAAAATAGGAAAACATCTAGTGTCTGACATACAAAAGCACATGCTTATTTGCTGGAAGCCACAGCAAGAAGGGTTAAGGAGAAAGTACCAGCTGCCACTGACTCTCACATACAACACTGTGATGTACAGATAACAAAACAAAGCAAAAGTATATGCAGATACTATGTAAGGAAAATATACTGTACTAAAGATCACTGGCAAGCTGGGGAACTATTTCATCAGCTACTATTTCCAGGTCACACAGAGGAAAGAAAATTAATTCCCAGGATGCTTCAAGACAGAGGGATCTGCTGCCTTTGTTACAAGATTTGTTGAAGTTCAGAATCCATACTGTGAACGAGGGCCAACCCCTATCATCTCCATCAGCTCCCAGGCCTGCAACACCAGCAGCCCTCCTTCCCACCCTCTTCCCAAACGCCATCTCTAGTGAAGGGGAAAAGAAAAAAAAAGCCATTTTCCAAAAGGACATGCACTAGTCCAGTTGGAAATTGCATTTCCTCACTTCATTTCAAAATAGTAACCAACACCTCCCTACACGTGCTCTTTAGCTTTGGAAAGGTGATAAAACTGGGAAGAAATGCATTCCTGCAAGCACCCTTCCACCACCACTGGCAAATGGCCTCCTGCCCACTGAGAAACTTCCGTACTTCAGAGTTCCTGGGAGACCCAGCACTAGCTTGAGACCTGAGCAGTACAGTACTTGCTGAGGGCTCCAACTCATCAAACCCTGAGGTTATGCTGCACACTCAGCTTTCCTTTTTATTTCTCAAGTTCATTTCTAGGCCTTACGGTTCTGAAGTGAAGCAAGACTGCAATTTAAGTGCAATTCCACTGAAGCTGGAAGCCCAGGACAGTCCAGACCGAACCACCTCATCTTCCTCAACATTTTTTTTTTTTTTTTAAATCTCTGGCCAGAGACCCATTGCTTTTGAGGACCCTGCCTACAACGCCCCAAGAGAAGCCTTGAAGGCCCACTGAGAGATGGGAAGAGCATGCTGTACCCAGCTCAACAAATACACTCCAGCTGTGGAGCGAGCAGAGGGACTCCCTCCTACTGCACCCGCTCCTCCGGGAAGAACGCTAGCCTCACTCCTCCTCTGACTCATGCGTCCTCCTTCCCGAGGGTGGAAAGCCTTACATCTCCTGCAACAACTGACCCACCTAAGGCTTCATCTGCAGCCACGGTGGCACAAAGTCAGCACAGTGCACGGAGTCCCCCAAGAACGAGAGCGGGCAAAACTCCAGCTTGAAAAGGAATGTTTTTGTTGTTACCGATATTGTTGAAATTAACTGCTATACTAAAAATCACTGTTATCCTCACATCCTGGAGCCTCAGATGTCTGGCAGATGTAACTGCTCAAGTTCTGCGCAAGTCGGGAACACAAGAATCCTTGTAGGAATCTTTACAGAAATTCCACAACTGAGTTTGCCGAAAGGGATCAAAAAGGATTTTACTACACGCAAGTATTTGTAACCACCACAACTTCCACTATAACTTTCAAATACGCTGTTAAGAATATTAACCATGAGTACTTCATCCCAGAGAAAACTGATAGGATGGGATTCTTGGCTGAGTCAAGGCCTAAAAATTAAGTATTTCAGAATGACATGCAGAGGAAGCCTTCTCAAGAGCAACGTGTTATAGCTGACCTTGTATGACTCAAGACTCCTGACACCACTTGTTAATGAAACAAAACAATGAGTGGTCATAAGACCATCGCAGATGAGGAGAGAAAGAACAAAATGAAGAACAAAATCCGTTTCAGTAAGTCAGTGTGTCAGCAGTTTCTAGTTCCAATTTTCAAGTATTCACAACTCAGCTGCCTGAGTTTTCTCCAAATCAACATTTGGCACAGCTGGCCACGGCCTGGACACAGAGGTGCAGCAACCAAAATTTAGTGGAGGAAGGAAAAAAAAAAAAAAAAAAAAAAAGGTATGTGGAAGTGAACAGGTGAAGAGTATTTGGCAACCTCACAAATCATTTCATAGCTGGAAAGGGAGGGGTGTCAGAATAAGGGCATATTAAAACCCCGGGCACCCTGCAACCAGTGAAATGACTACTCAACTTATTTTTGCTCAGTAACTTATTTTAGCGTATGCCTGATCAGGTCCAGAGGCTGTCCACGGGGGCACTACCAACCCTACTCCTGATGCAAGCCAGGCCCCTTCCCATCTCCCGCCTGATTATGTAAATGAAAATTCCAAGGGAAAAAAAAAAAAAAATAAAATAAACGTACGCGGCATTCTGGCTGCTCTTGTAATCACGCACTTGCTTTGAACCCCCACAAGCCCCCGAATGGGATATTTTTTTTTTTTTTTTAATTTTTTTTTTAAGATACAGCAGCCGGGCAGCCCCCCCACTCCACGCCGGGAGCGAGATGGGGGCTCCGA